GCACCATAACTCCGGTCAGCAATAGCCCATCACTACAAGGGTGAMGCAGCGGGAAGCAACAAACGCAGCCAGAAAGTTCAGCAGTGGTTTCAGTCATAGGACACAGCTATACAACGATTAGCCTTCAACTCTAGTCTGCCGCACAACTGTCATTCCACAAGGATATCCACCAATGGTGGAGCAGTGGGCTGTAGTGGGGAACAGCACCTTGAAAAGAGAGAAAAACGAGGAGAGAAGAAAAAAAAAAAAAAAAAAAAAAAAAAAACAGTCACTGCCGCCCCAGCTTGGCTCGTCCACTACTGCGCCCACTCTGAGAACCAAACCCCATACCAGAGCCTAGAAAGATGTGGACTCACAAAAAACAGAACTTCCTTCCTCTCTGCCGGATGTGCCTAGCCAAGCACTCGGCCAGGTTCACATACTCCGTTTCGTGCTTGTGGAGGATTAGCCCGCCTGGATTAGCAGTCCCTTCCCAATGAAGATATCTAGGCACGAGAGAAGCTTGGTGTATTCAATAGTAGCCCGATAACAGCTGGCAAGTATCCCACTGAGTCGAGGTCCGGGCTACCGAGATTGATCAGCAGGGATCCCGACGCCAAATCAATGATATATGAACATGACGGTGAGGCGGTGGTGGCGCAGACAGCACTATTATCAAGGGCGGACCGAGGAGGAAAAAAGGTGGATCTACCCTCAAACATGGCCAGATGCCTCACTTCTTACCCCACAACTCTYGCTGACTTCAAGCAGGTGGTTATATTGCCTCCTTCACGCTCTCGCCTCTCCCAAACGATCACGCTCCTCCCTCCCCCTTATTAGTGACCGCGCAGCTATTAACATCCATACCGGCCAAACCGCCCATCTGATCCGATTTCCGACACTACCATTAGATCCGGAGCGCCCTGAAACCCCAGTTTAGCATCTTCGTGCGCCCAAAACGGCCAAAAAACGGCTGAGGTCCGTCGACTTCCACTCCTACCATAGCTGTTTCACGGCATCTCTGCGCACCATTTTTCTTTCCTCTTCCCCCTCCTACTAACTTTCCTCCCTTTCTGACTGCAGATTTGTGTTCGCCAGCCTTCAAAACCACAGGTTATCACCTCCCCTCATCGAGTCTTGTTAGGAAACGACCGTGCTACGGATTCTCCTTCCACCATAGTCTCCAGCCCCGACATTACCTCTTCCCCCTTCCTTCGGATGTACCTGGCGCGAAACCGTGTCCAGGTTCACTCACCTCATTTCCTGTTGTTACTGCCGCTGCCTCTTACGTGGTGCTGCGCTCTCCGGCTATACCTCCTCCTACTCTACTCCCATACCACCATACCATGCTTACTATTATTATTATTTATCTTTATTTCGACTTAACACATGGCTGCCCATTGTCCGGATTCAGTTGGCTCCACTCCCCATACTCTTCTTCCCCGCCATAACCCCTTCTCCATTCCTTCAATTCTGGATGTACTCAGCACCCATGCCAGTCCCGGTTCATTTCCCCATTCAGCAGCCTCCCCCCCCTCGTTTCTCCTTCGGGCCTTTACTCCTCTCTTCCTCTGTTATCCAGTCCGATCCGCCATCATCTTCCTCCTATCGACCTCCCCACTGCAGCACTCTAGCGACCAGACTGGCCGGGAGAAGTACGCAGCATCGACAGCTCCCCCACGCCACTATGAGAATAGCAGCGCCGGGCCGCTCCCTGTTGTGCCGCACCAGGCGATCAGTTCGGCCAGGAAGGGTGAGCAGCAACAGCAGCCCATCATACACCATGACACAGCAAAGTGTCGGGCTACCTCCCCCCCCGACTTTATACTTACCGTATCCTTATTTCGGAGGTGCCATGCTAGTCTTCTCTGTATCGTTCCAGTCCTAACAGATGTCCCGAAGGACCGGTACCCCGGCGGTAGTTCGTGATGGAGCCAGGCCGGTGGGCTCGCTGCAGGTCCCGGCATTGACACCGGGCTAAAATAAAAAAAGAAAAGGAAAAAAGAACAAAAGGTAGAAGTAGAGAAAAAAAATCAAATAAAAAAATAAAAATAAAAGTAAAAGTATTTAAAGCTCAGAAAAAGGATAAAAGTAATAAAATAACGAAAACCGGACAGGGGAGGGGGACCGTTCGTGCCTGGTCCTACCCCACGGGCCCGCTGCTGGACTCCCCCAGCAAAAAACAAGGGGGATAGTCCTACGAGACCCTCA